TCACCATATTTAGACGATGTGTTGCGTGCAAAATTTGGGTTGTTCTAACACTTTGAACTTTGTACGTGACATAACTCTGAAACTGTTAGAGGTATACCCTCCTGTGTCCAAAACCTATTCGAGGAGCATCACCCGGTTTAACCGGCTCTTGTTTAAATAAACTCTTAGCCAAATGGCAACTATGGAATCTACCCATGTGACCAGAGCAGACCTAGATCATGTTCTGCAATGTTTTCTTCAAGTCAGTACATATTTTGAAATTTTCCCTAAAAATAATGAATATTCTTGTCCAGATATTTAGCGGGATAAAGGTTAAAGAATGCATACCAGAATCAGAATTAGTAACCAGTAGAAACAGATTTTACCCTAGCATGATCATATACTCTGTATATTAGGGATAGTAGAGGGTAGACGTACAAAGACTGTAGGTTCTAATAACAAAATATTTACGTGTATGTAAGTTGTAAGGGTTTCTTTTGTTGGCACCATGATTTTTTACATTTGATTTGAAAAATTGATTAAGAAAAATTTTTATTTTACATTTAAATTTTATTCTTTTTCCCATTAAAATTGTTCATCACAAATGTTTTCATAGTACTTTGTAACACTATTATATATAATTTATTTTAGGATGTATAACCTATTTGTTATTATATAACAGGGTTATAGTGTCCATTTCCTGATTATGTAATAAGAGTTATAGCCCTTTGTTACAAGGCCTAGAGCATAGATATTTTGCATAAGGCATTGTCTGGTAGACCTCTACCAAGATTGTTCAAATTATAGCCCTGGAGTCAAAATTGGCCCCGCCCCGGAGTCATTGTTTTTCACTGTATGTACATATAGTAAAAACTATAAATACCTTCTTGTCTCAAGGTACAAGGCTTAGAGCTTATATATTTGGCATATGATATTATCTACAGGTACTCTACCAAAGTTGTTAAAATGTTGCCTCTAGTGCCAAATTTAGCAGGTTTTCCTTTAATGTATATAGTAAAAACTTAAAAAATCATCTTCTCAAAATTGACAAAGCCGCGAGGTCAGATATTTTGCACGAAACAGTGTGTAGTGACCCTCTAGCAAGATGGTGCAAGTTAAAGCCCTGGGGTCAAAATTGGCCCCCGCCCGGGTGGTCATTGATTTTCACTATGTATACATACAGTAAAAAAACTAAAAAAATCTCCTTGTCTCAAGGTTCAAGGCTTAGAGCTTTGTTATTTCGTATATGATATCATCTATAGGTACTCTACCAATGTCGTTCAAATTTTGCCTCTTGTGTCAAAAATTAGACCCGCCCCGGGGTTAATGGGTGTCCCTTATATGTATATAGTAAAAAATTTAAAAAAAATCATCTTCTCTAAATTGACAAAGGCTAGTGGTTAGATATTTTGCATGAAACATTGTGTAGTGAACCTCTAGCAAGATTGTTCAAATTATAGCCCTGGGGTGAAAATGGGCCCGCCTTGGGGGTCATTGATTTTCAGTCACTTTGTACATAAGTTAAAAAATAAAAAATCTTCTTTTCTGAAGGTACAAGGCTTAGAGCTTTTATATAAGGTATATAATACCATCTATGGGTCTTCTACAAAAGTTTTTTATAATGTCCCTAGTGTTAAAATTGCCCTGCCCCAGAGGCGATATCCTTCCTTATATGTATATAGTAAAAACTAGAAAAATCTTCTCTAAATTGACAAAGGCCAGAGGTTGGATATTTTGCATGAAACATTGTATAGTGAACCTCTAGCAAGATTGTTCAAATTATAGCCCTGGGGTCAAAATTGGCCCGCCCCGGAGTCATTGAATTTCACTATATACATATAGTAAAAAAGTAAAAAATCTTGTCTGAAGGTACAAGGCTTAGAGCTTTGGTGTTTGCTTTATAATATCACCCATAGGTCCTCTACCAAAGTTGTTCAAATGTTTCCCTGGTGACAAAATTGGCCCTGCCTGCATAGCCTGGGGGAATTGATTTTCATTATGTATACATAGTAAAAACAGAAACTAAACAATTTTTTTTCTGCATTGGAGAAAGCTGTAGCTTAGATATTTGACAAGAAATGTTGTTTAGTTGACCTGTATCAAGATTGTATGACTTAAACCCTTGTGTCAAAATTTTATCTTGTCAAAAGGGGACAGTGACCTACTTTCTTGTCCTTGAAATGAAATTTTGACTATGTGCACAGTTTTAGTTGTAAAATTGAATTTTGATATCAGTTGACATAAATTTGATGATGTGACCTACTTTCTTGTCCTTTGATGTGCAGCTATGAAATTTGCACCATGTGCACAGATGAAGATGTAAAGTAAACTTTGATATCTGCTGGCCTAGATTTTGACAAAGTGTCTTACTATGTTGTCCTTTGATGTACAGCCATGGAACTTTGGCCATGTGAAATATGACCTTCACCACCAAATTCACTAGACTCTACTCCTTCTCTGATCTTTTATTTGAATAACAATAGATTTAACCACTAATCTGATACTAACAATAAGATACGCCAGTGATCTATGCATTTATAATGGCTATCTTCAATTGTATAAACAAAAAAATCTGTTCCTACATTACTATTTAGTGCGGTGGCATAGCATTTTTCACAAATGCAATCTTGTTTGTAACCTCAGACCTTGGATAATTTTTTTATTATTAATGCGTAAGGGGTTTACAAATAAAACAATATTATAAACAGAACAAAAGAAAATCTTTATTTGTAACCATGAGCTTATAACTCCTTTTACTGAGAAATAAAATACATATCAATACAAAAGTCAAATTACATTTAGATTGAATTATGTAACGTAGTAGAAAAATTTCTTAAAACGATATTCTGACATCACTGTATTTCTATATATGTTTATCAGAACTGAGTATATTTTGTATTGTAAACAATGAGTGTCTTGGTAAAGTTTAATTTTCTCATTTCATATGCACATATATACATACAGTCATGTATAGTAACTATACCACTGTTTTAAAGTATGATAAATAGCTAAGCAGGTCATTGTTGTTATTTGTATATAATTTTTATAATTTTAATACTGCATGTTTGTAACTTCACTTTGCATCTTTCAATCGAGGCGTCTGTGACCAAGAGGTTAAGGTCATTGAGTTCAAACCACTTGCCCCTCACTGCTGTGGGATCCCGACAGGGACTTTGGATTCTTTCATGTGAGGAAGCTATCCAGTTAGCTTAAGGAATGTTGGTGGTTCTACTGAGCTGCCCGTTAGTGCCTGAAATAATGCAGGGAATGGCTACACCACCAGTAAAGCTGGAACATCGCCATATGACCTATACTGGGTCGGTGTGACATTAAACCCAAACGAACAAACATCTTTCAGTCAAAACGATCATATAATTTTATATACATTGCTGTGTCAAGAATTTTCATTTGTTATTCTAGAAAGCAAGTTTGCTCTATTATAATTTTGTTATAAAGATACCTTTGATGATCCTCTAACTCTGCAAGGAGTTTAGGGCCACAGCAACGCTATGTGTGGATAATTTTTTTTATTTTGCCAATACCACCTTTGGTCATCGACCGATGTCCTTCATATTTGATCGATATTTACCTCGGGAGGTCCTCTTTTTTTGGATGGTGTTAAGAGTCATTTGGGTCAAGGTCAAGGTCAATTGTGAATAATGCTTAACTAAAATTAGAACCTTAATTACATCTTATATACATTTTTTGCATTGGAATACATTTACAATAGTTCTAGTTTAAGCAATACATCGTGTTTACTCTCATTTAATTAAATGGATCTGTACCAAACTTTGTTGTCTCATGTGAATTGGTAATTTTCTGTTCTCTTTCTGCACAGAAATTGCCTTAGTCCTTTTGGGCTACCAAAGTAAGTAATAGGAAAAATGATCTTTGAAAAAAATATTCTCAGATACAAAATGTATGTGACTTGTATTATAAATATTGGATATTCCTTTGTCTGTCCTTCCCATAAATATATGATTTTCCTTTGTCTATCTCTTTGTAATTATTGAATATTCCTTTGTCTGTCTTTACTATGACTTTGTCTGTCTTCACTTTTGATATTGGATATTCATTTGTCTTCAATAAACATACAGATTTGCTCTTGTCTTCCCTCATACTAGTCTTCTGTAGACTCTGACAAAACACTAGAGTGAGGGGGCATATCAGTCCTATAGACACATTTCTAGTTTTAATCAGACTTTACTTAATTAACTTTTAAAACACATGCTGCTTATCATTTTTATAAAAAGTTCACACTGTAGTAAGTTTAACTACTATACATGAATAGAATTTGACTTTGGTGCTAATGATTTAAGTAGGAAAGTGAAAAAGCTCTAACAACATTAAAGAATTGATGAAGGCTATTTTTTTTATCGGGCACATACTAATATAATAACTAATAAACATAAACTTTGATAATATGTTTTAATGTATTAAGCTTATGAATCCAGTATGGCTCTACGATAATATGTTTTGTCAAAGAAGTTAGTTGCAAGTTTTCATGTAGGAGTATAATTTTGGAAGTACTGGCAGTCATATAGTCAGTATACACATCTGTTAAGTCTGACCTGAGGCACTATATGAGCCGTGTCATGACAAAACCAACATAATGGCATCCGCGCAGTCTGATCAGGATCAATGCTGTTCGCTTACAAACCCTATTACAAGTTGAGAAACTGATAGCAAACAGCATGGATCCTGATCAGACTGCGCGGATGCGCTGGCTGGTCTGGATCCATGCTGGTTGCAAACCCATTATGTTGGTTTTTTCTCGACACGGCTCATATACTGTTTATAGCTGGAAATTTGATATTGAAATCCCTTGAACTTGAAATGGTCTGTTCCAAATTCAAAAAGGGTCAATTCATGACATTAATTTAGCAAGTTAAGGGTTACTGTAGGATATAGGATGTTTCTAAGCTTGTAGATCAGGTTTTATACTTTTTTCTCCGAGAACTGTAAGTGACCATAATAGTCTGGGATAGATGTTTTATATTTACTGTAACTGATATTTCCAGGGCAATGGATGGCGCGATTGATGACTTGGACTTTGTTGGAGGAGTGGGTGAGGATGCAGACTTGAACCGGATCAACGAGTGGCTATCCACTCAGGGTAGCTTTAACACTGATACCATGAATACTTGAGTCGGAGATCAGCGTTCATAACAATGATTATTCTGTCATCGTGGTTGAAAGTGTGTACTACACAAAAGAAACAAAGAGTGATTATGTTGTTCATGTGGCGAAAGTGAATGTTTGTTTTTTCGTAAAACAATAAATAATTGCTTGAAATAACTCTTAAACTTGTGATTAAAAAATTTATCAATTTCATAATTTTAAGAAGAAAAAACACTTAAGAGTCTGGAATATTTTAAGAAAAAAATATAAAAAAAAACAACAGTCGAAACCTGGTCACACAGATTTGCTCAAGATTGCACTATTTTATTTATCATTGTTATTTTAAGGAATTTTATTATTTTAGGAAAGTGCTTATATAGCATATACTGTATAAAAGAATTACTCATCAGAATTATCTATTTCATTGCTTAATACTTTGATGCACCAAAGGTGAAAGGAATCTGAAATGTCTTAGATTGAATAGAATATGTCTTAGAATATAATTTAGATACTGAAATTGTACTACAATAAAAAAAGATATTAAAGAAAAATCATAGACATTAAGAAAATGATATGTAAAAAAGTGTGTGATATAGAAAATGTAGAAATACGAAATCTGTATGGAGTTAATCAATTATAATTAAGATAAGAGCCCATTGTGATATACAACAACGGTTCAATATGATGTATACATAATATGATTAAATGTACTCATTTTATGTTAATTATTGATTTAATAGTTAAAGATAAATAAGTTGAAGATAAATCCTGTATTTATAGAAAAAAAAACTTGAATTTTCCATTTATTTCATATATTTTTCTCCTTTTAGACATCATAATTAGAAAGATTTCCCCTTTAATTTTGTGTATTGGTTAAATTTGGAAAAACGTATTCCAGCAAGACACCAGTGAAAATATGGAAAAAATGTTTCACTTCAGTGAAAAATAACATTTGACAGTGAAAATATGGAAAATGAAAATACACATTTTATTTCATTTATATTTCTCAATCTTTCATTTATAAGTATATAAATAATTATTACTTTTGTCCCATCTGATGAGAATATTAGGCATTTGATACTTTTATTTTTGAATTTTTAGGTTGAGGTCTTTGAATTATGTCATTATAACTAAGGCATTAGTAATTGGATCTGTAGTAGTTAATAGTGAGTGTACATAATAATTTTTGTTTGGTTTTTTTACCTTTTCATTATTTTTATCGTCTCTGTACTTTTTATTTCAATTTTAAAAAACCTTGCCAATATAAATGACACTTTTTGTATCAATTGCAAAATTGACCCACTGCTGTGCTGTCAACCTGCTTTTGTTGTTTTAAAAAATTGTAGTTTTTATCATCTTTTATTTTTCTACTTAATGAATTGTCGACCATATTGTTTGTTCAGATCTCTTTGTCTCTTTTTCAGGAAAAGAAACACAGTTTATTATCACCTTAGTGTAGTAACGGGGTAAACCCTCATGAATTATATAAGGAGTTAAACCGTTACTGCACTAAGGTGACAATATGTAAGTTTGAACTTTGTCTCTTTTGTTAGTTGAAGTGAGGAAATGTCAAAGAAAATAGAATAGAGGTCATTTTGCCATCAAATTATGTCCCATTTTGTTACCTTTAACACTTTTCTCTGTACGTTTTTTTTTGTAAAAAAAAACTTGTGTAAATCTTTTTTTAATGTTAAGGAGGAAATGCATGCATGTGGATATTCATACATTTCATGTATAGTATAAATGCGTTAAGATGACTTTAGGGTACAAGATATGTGTCATACTTTTTTATAAGGAAAGGTTTTGATTTTTCTACTATTTTTCCAATGTGAATTGCTGTGTTCTTGCTGATTTATACTTTGCTCACTGCTTAAAGGCACGTTATGCCTCAAAAACAAATGAATTTTACTGCTATAGAAAGGGAAAGCATAAATTTTTATAATGTTTAAATAATGGTTTTAGGGAAATGTTACATGATTGTCTCCTGAAAAGTAGCGATAAATGTGTAATACATGTATTTTTTATAAAAGTAGAAAAACGTAAAGTAGTAGTGTTTCTTCCATACAAAATCCTATATCACTGGTACTACTCGACAAAAAAAAGATGAAAAAGATGGTTTAGGTAATTAGCCAATGAGTAACTTTTTGGATACTATATAGTACACCAGAATTAAAAAGCTTTTGAGAAATAAAAATAAAAGCATTTCTAAGGTATAATGGGCCTTGAACTTTTAGCCTCTTGAAATGGAAAGTAATCAGCCTTTTCCATCAGTATAGAGTCAGGCCAGCCTGTACATCCGTATAGTCTGACCAGCCTGTACATCCGTAGAGTCAGGCCAGCCTGTACATCCGTATAGTCTGACCAGCCTGTACATCCGTAGAGTCAGGCCAGCCTGTACATCCGTATAGTCTGACCAGCCTGTACATCCGTAGAGTCAGGCCAGCCTGTACATCCGTATAGTCTGACCAGCCTGTACATCCGTAGAGTCAGGCCAGCCTGTACATCCGTATAGTCTGACCAGCCTGTACATCCGTATAGTCTGGCCAGCCTGTACATCCGTATAGTCTGACCAGGTCCTACACTGTTGGTGGATCAACTTTTGTATGTTAATATTGAAGCAGCCCCTTCCATAAATTCAGTAGGTAAATGGGTAATATTATATCACACATGTTGATATGTGTTCTAAAAGGCATTGAACAATTATTTTATGCAGCTATGATAATCATACATTTCTCAAAGCCAAACTAATTTTAACCTTTTACAATATCCTTTGTTAATATGACTTTTAATCCAACTTAACTCTTTATTAGAAAATTTTCAATGTATTATCAAGTACTGAGGAAAAATGAAGTGTGCTGTTCCTTTGAGAGCTCTTCTTTAAAAGATGTTTAGCTTATAATGGTAACTTTGGTGAAGAAATCTGTTCACAGTTTTGCCTTGTCATTTTGAATATAGTTCATTAAAGCGGTGAAATATTACTATAATGTTAACCAGTATTAGTTGAATGTTGTAACAAAGATTTCATATGTATAACATATATATATATATATATCTGTTGTTGACATTGTATTGTTATTGAGATTTTCACATTTTCATGGTATGTCATCCTGGTGCCAGACTGCTGTAGTAAGGTAGAGGAGAAGAAAACACAGCATTATGGTGTCATAGTGACAGTCATTTAGTTTAATTATACTAGCTTGTTTTCAATGTTTTATAACCAATACACATTTCTTACCTGGCCCACATTTTAGGGCAGTCAACTTCAAATCATTTGCCCGTCACAGCAGTGGGTTCGAATCGGTCAATCCTGTCAGGGACTTCGGGTTCCTCCAGGAAGCTCTCTTGGTAGCTTATGGAAGGTCGAGGGTCCTACTCAAGTGCCTGAAATAATGAACGAAGGAGTCTGCACCAGTAAAGCTGCAAAATCACCATATGACATTGACAGTGTTGATGTGACTTAAAATCTAACAAAATTAACAATGTTCAATTTTAAAATATTATATTGTTAAGTTTATTTCTTTAATGTACCGGTGTTATAAAACCACTATGCATTTCTTTAATATTACAATGTTGTATGACCACTATAAAAACACTAAAAAACATTTCTTTAACATAATACAATGCATGATTTGAAAAAGTCATGATGTCAGCAATGTCATGTAAAGTGAATGGGTGATGTTGACACAGGAAGGTTTTGCCTTGTCCTTTTTCAGATGCCTTTTGACTTTCTTATATCATGTGATAGAAAGAACCTTGCTATAAAAGAATTCCTACGTTCATGCAGTTTCTACTTGCTGCCTAGAAATACTACAAAGTTTGTCATATGCTTGCCTATATATACTTTATAATGAAGATGTAATGTAAATCAATATGATGTTATAACTTGTGTTAAATCCTATACATATCATGTGATATATGGATTATGATCATTAATACACTTTTCTTTGTCTTCCAAACTATTGGTGATATTGGATCTGAATGTTTGTTATTGTGTTACAATATTATGTTGCCGTTCCAAGTAAAGCAACAAAGATTTTATAGATAAACCCTGGTTTGTATATCAGAAAATGTGATAAATATATTTTTGTTTTTGTAGAAAAAAACCCTGAAATATGAGATATTTTTATCTGTTACATATTTGTTTATATACATTTACCTTATCTGTGGAATTTGATTTTATCTAGAATCACAAAATGTTGCAGATCATTTTTTTGTTTGTTTGATTTTATTTTATAAAGACAGGCATGTGTAATTTTTAAAGGAATAATGCATTAGGATTATTTTTCATCTGAATGTTATCTAAGTCAGGCCTTTATCCATCAGGACAAAGGTTTAAGACTATATGGTTTAATTTTTTATAGTGCTTGGCAGACTAGATAGTATTGGCAGTTATTTAAAGTATTTTTTGTCCACATTGCACTTGTTAAAGATAGTAAAGGTGTCTGGTAATTTGTCCATTGGTTCATGTCCCTGACAGAATCACTGTAGAGCAGCTTGTCACGTGTGGTGTTTTATGGTATCAGCTACATTATATTGTGAAGTTTATCAATATTTTATCTTTATTGCTGTAACTTTTTTTTAATTTGGCATACCAAACATATTTTGTTTCAATTTGAATATAGCTTGGTTTATGTTTTGAACAGTTAAGTTTAGAATGTACCGGTGTTGCTTGTAACTCTACGAGATCTGGCTTCCATGTTGTAAGTATATGCAATCATTGTATATTCAGTCAACCTACATGTGTGAGAAAGCCTGACATGATTCTACACTGCTGTATAGTTGTTTTTAGTTCTTTCTTCGTCGTTAAAAATCCCTGAAATTAAAAAAATAAATGTATTTGTTCTGCTTAAAAGCTGAAAAAGTTTGTTATGCAAAAAACATTGAGAAATAATATAAATGATTTTAAATGTGATACATTTACTTGTCATTTTGCAGTTACCAAAACAAAACAAGCTTTAAAAGCATTATGATAAATATTTAAAAAGGTTATTTCATAACAGTGAGCTCGAGGTGTGAAACAACTGTGTGTCCCGTATTAGGGAAAGCTCATCTTTGCTGATATTAATCTACTGTTACATGGAAATTGAATTGTCAAGCAATTTAATGGCATTAAATTTCGGAAATAGTGTTGTCCTTAATTTGTATATATACAAATTACAGATATTGTATATTTATAATAATTTAGTATATAATACTTTAGTGAAAGATTTTCTTTCCGAGCATTTTAATGACTTTGAATTGTTAAGATTTGGAATTAAAAAATTATGTTAAAAAATGTTGACAAAGTTATTTTCTCTAAGAGAATATTTGAACAGTGCCTTATACTTTTTTATCCAGTGCTTAACCTTTACTCTTCTGGAACCAAAAGTAAACTAGATAAAGGTTTACACAGTTTTGTTACACCATTCTGCCGCATCATTTCCTTTACATACTGAACATTAACAGTCATTGGATAGGAATTGCAAAGCTACTGTTCATTCAGTTTGGAGCAAAGAGCTAAAGTAATAGAAAGTTGTCTGTTTAATTATAAATTGTTTGTGTATCTAGAATTATAGTTAGGAAGTCAATTTTGATTGCATTGTTGTAGAATAATACACGGTTCTGAGTTAATATGTGCTGAAATGTATAATTACAAAGCATTTGAAAGATAAACAGTGCAACCTTATACTATAATTCATGAAAAATTAATATCTATTGCCATTATAACATGCTAACAAAAAAGAAAATTGATAAAAATATGTTGGAACTACATTAAGCGTAGAAGTAATTTTCCTGACATTAATTGATTTATTGACGTCATATGACGTTTAAGCATTCATTTTTATGCTGTGCATAATATTGTGTAAAATGCATGTGCATCTATTAGATAGGGGATTGTGTTAAGTGTGTTAGAATTGTAGTACTTTTGTGTTGCACATACATACTTATATCATTTTTCCTTTTTATCAATTATTCTATTACAGGTTTTCCACTTGTGAAAGATTTTTCTGTATTTGTATATATAATATTTCTGACATCTGCATGATATCATTAGTTGTGTACTGTACCAAAATTGATTCATTATTTCATGTTTGTTATGGGTTTGTGCTATTGCTTCTATTAAAACGCTCGATGGACAATATAGGTGAATGATGGACAATATAGGTGAATGATGGACAATATAGGTGAATGATGGACAATTAAGGTGAATGATGGACAATATAGATCAATGATGGACAATATAGGTGAATGATGGACAAAATAGGTGAATGATGGACAATAAAGGTGAATGATGGACATAAGAATTTAAGCAAGCAGCCACAAATTAAAGAAAATGTGTATTTGTGCAAATTTAATATCATTTATAAGAATAAAGAAAAACGCCTGTTCCTGGAAAATGAAGAAGACAAACCCATTGCAGGTTTTCTGTTACACCACTAAAATTTTAATGATAAAAAAAAATGAAGAAAAGATTTGTTTTTAACATGATGTAAAAAGGATAGAGTGAATTGACATTGTGTATAAATAGAGAAAATTTTGAGTGACAGAGTAGGAGATATAAAATTCAGATCGTTTGCAGATAAAAGATTGAGATCATGTACAGATAGAGAATTGAAATGGCATAATAAATTCTGGTCTTGAAATAATGAAATTAGGCTTGATTTGTTCAAGGTTTGTAATGTTATTGTCTATAAGGCATGGTAATATATGACAAATAAGATATGTATGATTTGTATATGTGTGAATCAACTTGATTTTTAAATATTGGCTGACCATAAATAAACACAATCTTAAATACTAATATCATGTTGTTGTTTTTTCTGTATCATCAATATAAGGTAGAATCTATAATATAATAATAAAGCACCTACAGTATATGTACGGTTTAATATTTGTCAACATTCAAATATTCACAAAATTATTGAAATATACCAATGGAAAGAAGTGTGAAAACCGATAAACTAAATGTAAGCATATTTAACCATATTTTTTTAATACAAGGGACAGATCTATAAATGCATTTTGTTGTGTAAAAATCTGGAAACAAAGTGATCCCTCGGAAGCATTAATCGCAACAAAATTACATAAGAACTGCAGACTCGGTTTGATTGAGTCTGTACACGAGGGATAATGAATAGGTGCAACATCCCTCACGCCCGCTAGCACCGGCTACTCAATTCTCATCACTTAATAGTGCTGGCATCAATGATCCCGAAAGACTTGAGTAAAATTTAGAGCTTTTGTATAATAATAAAGGAGCTCAGAGGAAAACATTCAAAATACTAAACAATTTGCTCTATTTCTTAGTAAAAAGGACCAAACTTGTCAATAAGTGGATTGAGAGAGTTACATGCTGTATAGTTTAAATAACACTAGTA